TACACTCCAACACTAATGCCTTCACTTCCATATTATATATATGATCACGAGCTTCCTGAATTTGATCCTGGATGATCATCTTGAAGGTAAAGACTTCTTGAACTTTTTATGACTTTAGAAGATGATTGTTCTGACTTGGACATGACTTCATTCTCAGACAACAAACTTTAGTGTCCCTTGACCTCATTCTTAATGGCTATAATCTTCTCTTCAATGACCTGCTGATCTTTAATATACTGGTTGATTACTGCTTATGCATCCACCAACTCAATATGCTGACAATCCATTTGCTGGTTTTGCAAAGAGGCTGAAGTTGCCATAGTAGCTAATTTTGCCCTACATTTTACTAGTTGATCCCCCACAGCCTTCATCTCTTCGATTTTATTATCATTCCTCTTTTGGTACTCTCCCTGGATGTACTTGACCTTCACAAACTCATTATTCCAATCATTTAAAGTCTTAGTCATTACAATTTCAAGATCCATGTATTTCACGAATTGAAATAATAAAAATATTTCATAAGAGATATATTCTTAAGGGAGCATCAAAAGAAAAAGCAAAAAAGAGACTATAAACTCACCAACTCCTTAGTATATCGATGACCAACACATTTATGCTTTAGAACATCTTCCGGAATGTGTGACTTGGATGGAGAGACATGGTGACTTTTACTAGCAAATGTTAAAATCTCCTCCACTTTTTTCTTCTTAGATGTCTTCGAATCGCCCTCATTTCCTGGTCGTTTTGGAAGGAGCCTTTGAAGGTTAAATAACTACCTATAGAACTTTGGCCAACTTCTTTATCATATGAGCATATGATCTCCATGCATAAGTAGATAATCTCACCTTGAACAAATATTCTTCATCTATATATCTACTAATATATCTTAATTCGTAGTGGAGGGTGTCGATATCAGGGAGATTGAGTATCTTGTGTAAGTTTTCTACTCCAACGTGTAAGGGAATGGGCAAATCCTTCACTTTTCTCCATTTTTTCTTGAGATTCCAGTCATTCTGTACAAAAAAGAAATCACTAACCCAGCTTCTTGATTGATCTCAAGACTGGATATCCAACCACTTGAATATAAAAGAGATACGGCCCTGCGTATCACAAATAAGTTTACCCATCCAAGAAAGGCACTCTTGGGATAATACTGCTCCACGATCTTTGAAAAACAGGATCAAATCCATTATGATTGACATAGATCTATAAGAAAGCTGGGGCAAACTCACTTTATATATCACTAAAATGTCAATTAACTTTGAATAAGGGATAAATCGTAGTCTCGCTTACAAACTGAACTCGAACACCATCAAAAATCCTGTTGGAGGGGAACAGGCAGGAGCGGATCTTTCAGGCACTTTCATCACAAGATCATTAGGGAAGTGAAATTTCTTCCTGAAAATGATCAAGGAATCACCAGTTATGACAGATACGACATCATTAGCCTTGACCACTTTCTGAGTCCTCTTCAGACCCTCAGTTCAGACAGCATGGCGATCTCCTTCGGGTGAAGGAATTTTGGTGGAGGTCTTGTCACCCATTTAAACGTCTACACTAAAGAGGGGTACTAAATTTATTATGGGATGTTACCTACCAAAAGTAGTGGAATGCCTCTAGAGTAAGAATGACAATGGGGGAGAAAAAAATAAAAGGCTACAAAATTCTAACTTCTACATAAAGAGAGGGGCTCTAAATTTGAGTATGGGATGTCACCTACTAGAAAATAAGAGAATGTCTCAACTGTAAGAAGGTTAGAATGAGGGAGGATAAAGAAAATGAATGGCTGTAAAATTCCAACTACTACATAAGGAGAGAGGCCCTTAATTTTAGTCGGGGATGCTACCTACAAAAAATAGGGGAATGCCTTAACTATAAGAAAGTTAGAGGGAAAAGGAAGAAGAGGAGAATGTGCAAATAATTCATTACTCCACGAGGGTATTTATAGGATGAAAAGGATGCAAATTTTTTGAAAAAGAGGGGGGAATATTTTGAAAATGAGAGGCAAGAAGATTCTAGAAGCATTTTAAAAAATTTATGAATTTTTTAGGCCAAAAAATTACATTTTTGGAATTAAAAAAAAAATTAAGGGGGCGGCTATGGCCGCTACCCACTTGAAAAAAAAATGAGCCCCACAACTAAAAAAAAATTCAGTTGAATGCAACCGGTTATTAATTGCCTTCCATGACCGGGTGTGCCAGACGGTGCGCTGTTTCAGCGTCGTCGGCGGCCAGTCGGCTGATCGGTCAGTTCGGCCACCTACACATGCCCGGGCTCTAATTTTGGGCCCGGACAGTTCAAATCAGACTTTTTGATATCATGGACCCATTTTTCTACGTTCCGAACTTAATTTTGACACTTTCAGAGCTCAACAGAGCTTCTGTGATCAAGTTTAAGCAAAATTACATTATTTGGAATGCAATGTTTTGACATAGAATCAATTTGAAGTGTTGTGACATATATTTTTATACTCAATAGGCTTTAATGTCCGAAAATAAGAGACCAACTGATATATCATCAAAAAATTATCTTTGATCATGTACGAATCTCGAGGCAAAATTCAAGTTGGAAGCTTCAAAAATTAAATTTGAGACCATTTGAACTCTGATTTCAAAAAACTTATAGTCGAATTGAATGTCTCGGAAATACGAACCCAACGACACCAAACTCGACTCAATCCGAGCCCAAATTAATCCAAATCAAAGACCCGGAGCACATTTTGAAAGTTCAATCCATAAATTAGATTACCAAACAGTTTTCAAATATGGCGTGCTTATAGTCGAATCAATTGGCTCGATAAGATGAACCCAATGAGTTCAAGACCGTCGAATTTCGATATTACTAGAGCCTTCAAATGCCTGATAAACGGTCCACAATCAAGACATTCAACATCAGCCATCCATTCAAACCACTCACAATTCACCCCTAATCTTCCTCCTATTTACTGGTCATGCTACTCTCAGAAAACTATAAATATACCCTACATTTCTCTTGAAAGGGGACCCAAATAAGAAGAGAAAAAGAGAAGAGAAGGAAGAAAAGAATGAAGAAGCTCCTCCTCGACCACTACCAGACTTTCACCCGGCAGCTAACAAACGCCCGAATTAAGCAAGGAAGAAGAAGAGAAGGAAGAGACTTCTCCTCAACCTCCGCTGGAGTTCCACCTGAACTCCAAGTGACGCAGGAGTTCCACCCGACTTTCAAGTGATGCCGAAGTTCTGCTTGATCACCCAAAGTCATTGAAATTCGGATATATGTTTGTAACTCAATTTCAACTCGAGATTTGTAATCTGATCGTCCTCAATTTTAGGGACAAGTCAACCATTTGAAACTTAAGCAAACACTAGTGGAATCTTTTTAACTGGGTGTGACCCCATGGTTTTTCCCTTTACAGGGTTTTCCACGTAAAAATTCTGGTGTTCATTTTTCGTTCTTTTGTGTACTTAATATCCATACAACAGACGAAAATTTTCTAACTCTATCGCCGCGTATATTCTAGCCCGCAACAACCATCATTTTCCTTGTACTTCTAAATTTGTGTCCGTGACACTCAATAAGGATTTGCAAATGTGTCTCTACCATTAGGTTTGATTTTGTCTGTACATGACTTTTTATAGGTTTTAGTAGAATTGCATGTATAAATTATAAGATCTTAAGAAAAAAATTGGTTTTATTTCTCAACTTAGGACTACAAAGAGTTCAGTTATTCAAAATAATACTATATTTAATTTTAAATTTACTAAATTTATTTTTTATATTTTTTGTTCTTTAGATTATTATTATGTTTATTTATTATTATATATTTATAAATTATTTTGTCATTATTATAATATTTAAATATAATAAGTATTTATTATGTTATTCGGTTTGACTCCAATTTAACCCTAATCAAATCTAATCGAACCATCGAAGTGTTAACCTCTCCTATTCGAGTTTGTTATCCAGTTCGATATTCAAAGCCTTGCTTTTTCATTTACAATTATTTTTTTAGTAAATACGATGTGGTTTGACTTTAATATTAAAATAATAATTATAATGATAATACAATGCAGTCGCATAAAGATTTTTAAACATCTTGTACCAACTGCTCGTCATACCAACCATTGAAGACGTAAAAAGTATATGAACCCGCACACTAAAATTCATTAGCAGAGTATCTGTCAATGATGAATGATCAGATCTTTGTTACGGATGTATGAATGGTTGACTTTAGAAGAGATTATTAAGTGTGGAGTTCGAATCGGAACTATGTCTGAATTGTATCAATGTGACCCCACCGGGCTTAGGTGGGTTGGTGGGTGAGTTTGATTGGGAACCCCTCACCCCAAGTTTGAATCCCCTCTCATACGAATTTTTATTAGGTCCGGTGAACGTACGTAGAGCTACATTCGGCCGGCACTGAGATCGCGCCACATAGCAGGCACAAAACGAGAAATACCGAGCAATACCAACAATAACAAGAAATATCATTATGTGAAGACAAAATACCGAGCAATAACGAGTAATACCAAAAAATATCATAGTTTTTTCTAGAAAAACTCGGTATTTTTTTGTATTACTCGGTATTGCTCGGTATTATTCGGTATTGGTCTTCACAGAGCGGTATTTCTCGTTATTGCCAAGCAATACCTAGCAATACCGAGCAAATACCGAGCAAAAACCGAGTAACTCAGTGATGACCGTACGTAGAGCTACGTCCGGTCAGTTCCTCTCATACGACACTACTCCTTAAGTGGAGAGAAAAGAACCGTGAGTCTTGCACCTGTGGGGTTGGTTGCTGGTAGACTCGCCGAGAGATTAATTATGCTGTCAAGCATTTCTTTCTGGAGGTGGTAGTGGATAAATACCCGTTTAAAAAAAAAGTGTGTACAGTAATTACGTTTTAATGTCTGTTAATAATCTCGGGGATGCCGGTGCAACCAAAGTTCCGCATGCGTGGCGGCGTATAGGGCCACAACTGTAGCGGAAAACCTCGGCCATGGGATAATTTTGAGGAATTGTTTTTAATTCGTATTGTTAAAAATCTTTTAAGAACTGCGGTGGAATGGAGGACAGCATCCACGAGTTTAGATTGATTGGACGCACTGTCATCTTCTTGTGCTGTCCGAAGGGCTGAAGCTTCTTTCCTCTTTTTTTAAGTAAGAGGGAGCCGCTCTGCAACTTGGATTTTCCAATTTTGGAAATTTTAGGGTTACTTTAAGCTCCGCACGCGGTTTCGGTCCTTGAGGATAAGTCTTGCAAGGACTATTGGTGAGCATTTCTTTCTTTTTTATTTTTGCTCTTTGTTCTTACTTTTTATTTATGATCTGTTTGATTGATTTTTTTGGCTGGAGTTTTTAGTAAAAAATAGTTCGAGCGGTGGACTTTCAGGGCTTGTTTGTCTTTCTGCTTTAATCCGCTATGTATCTCATGTTTTGGATTGAATGCTTTAAGTGCGCCTTCTTTTCTTGTTTTGATGTTTAAAGGAAATGGTTTTGGTACAGTTTTTGCGGTGGGTACTGTCGACTTGGAGCTGAATTATGCGTTAGTTGAAGAGGAATCTCGCTTTTATGCGGCTTCTGCAAGTTTTTTTGGTTCCTTCGTGCTGATTATTCCGTGTGAGCCCTAGAAATAGTTTCGATGACGGGTTGATGCTAGCAAAAAACGAGTTGAGAAAGAGATGATTAACAGGTCAGATGCATGTTTTTTTCTTGTTGTTATACACCTTTTGAATCTTTTATATGAGATTTCTTCATTGCTGATTTATGCTGATACCTGTGAGTGATATATGCAGCTGCGGTTTTGATTCAGTTCGAACTGAATAATGGTTCTGATGGGGAAATTACCGACCTCATCCAACCATGTTGATCTGCTTTATTAATTTAGCTGATTTGGACGTGGAAAGCCTTCTCCTTGGTTAACATGGAAGGGAGCGCTGAACTTAACGAGTCTATGGAAAACTCAGCCGAGACTCCTCATCTTAAAAGAAAAGAAAATGATCAATTGCACTCTCAAACGGATTGCATTGCATTTCAAATTCAAAACCCAGCTCCAGTTATCTCAGAAGAAACTGGTTGGACTGAGCATCTTTCATCATTGAGATCACCTGAAATGCTACTAGAGACTTTAGCAGGTAAAGGTTCACATCATGATTTAGGACGACATTGTGTTTCAGAACCTCCTGCAAGCTCTTGTCCTTCAAACTATCCTGGAACAGTTATGGAAAAGTTAACATTGAGGAATGTCAATTCTCCCAAAGTATTGTATACTAGTGGTGTCCCTGGCTCTGTGGAAGATTCTCCTATTAGGAAAGGGCTGTGGCACAATTTGACAAGAATAGTGGGTGGATCTAGAACAGATTCAGTGCCCAATGAATTTTTGAGAGTTGGGGATGGAGGAAAAGGTGTTGGATCTTTTATGCCTCAATCTATGGTGAAAAGGAATCTTCAATTCACACAGTTAAACTTAAATCATTTGAAAACCCCTAATAATGTAGTAGAAGGTGATAGCAAGGATTTTTCAAAGAGTGACATTGCTCGTCATCCTACTGTTAATAGTACAAAAGTTTTAAGTGCATCAGGATTTAGACAATTTTTAATGAAGAGCACCTTGAAGGGTAAAGGCATCGCATATAGCCAGCAAAGAACAGATAATGATTCTGGACCTTTTACCCAAAGCCAAGATAATGTTGGTATAGATGATCACAAGATGAAAGCTTCTGAATCATCGCACAAACCAATTGCAAAGGCAGATGAAATGGCCTTACTTGGTGGCAGTGTTGAGTGTGTTGATTCAAATGTCCAGCATGATGGGACTACTTTGAGGGATTGGCTTAAACAAAACCATCGTATGTCTAGCAAATTTGAGAGACTGCAGATTTTTAAGCAGATCTTGAAACTTGTTGATGCTTCACACTCTCAAGGCCATGCTTTACAGCATTTAAAACCGTCACATTTTGTAGTACCTTCGTCAGGATTTGTTAAATATATAGGCTCAATAAATGCTAAAGTGCAGGCAGGGAGTTGGTTGTTTTCAATAAATCATCAAGATATTGGACTGGAGACACATCTTAAAAGGAAGAGATCCATGGAATATGATACAAAGTTGCAGGATTCTTTATCACATAAACAATTAAAACTAGGTTGTGATCAGGAGTTGCAGGGAACTTTATCACGAAAACATCAGAGACTACGTGGAAAGAATCAAACTGTTGTCCAGCTCCAAAAATACCCCTCTAGAACTGCTGATCTGCAGGGAAGTCTAGCTGAGGAAGTCTATGATGGTGATATCAGAACAGCAAGTTTTGATGAAGAATTCAGTGAACAAATTCACTTGGTTGATTTGTACAAGAGTTCTAAAATCCCTGCACGTAAAAATATCTTTGACTTTAGTTTTCAAGAACCTGCATCTGGAATTTTGAGTCTGGAAGACAGATGGTATGCCAGCCCTGAGAAGCTGAATGCAAATTCTTGCCCTTTATCTTCAAATATCTACAGTCTAGGCGTTTTGTTCTTTGAGGTACCAAAGAAAATATTTAAATTATTCATTTTATGTTGAAGTTCCCTGGCAGTCTTTCTCAGTATTGATCTGTAACCATTATGCGTGAACCAACTGTTGGGCAATTAAGGCATGAGCAATTAGTTTGTTTGATAGTTACAGCCTAGCTGTTGGGGTGTACATTTTCTATAATTTCCTTAGTGAGATTGTCCTGAACATTTTTTGTATAACTTGGGGCTTATTTAGCATGGCAATGATGTTTTTGAATGCCATGCTTGCTATTAGTTTTCCTGTGCAGACTTGATTGCAGCATGATAAATTTCTTCTACTAGGCTAGCACTTTGTGTTGCCCTCATTCATATACATATTTCTTACAATGGTCATTATAGGTAAGGTATAGTCACTTTTCTTAAACATAACACCCTCTTGTTTCTTTAATTTGGCGCAATGTAGGGTGTGAAGTAGTTTGTAACTAGTAGATATATTTAGAAATAAGTTTTGATGTAAGATCACTTTTTGCAAATAACTGTTCTAAAAGCTTGGATTGATAGAGAAGACACAACGATGGCTTTATAGCCAATTGCCTAGGCAGCCCATATCCATGTGTGTATTACACTGCTTATGACTCAGTCGTCCACTGAAATTGAATGCCAATTGTGCTATCAAGGATTTCAACCAGTGACTTGTGCTCTAATATCAAATTTATGCCAATTGAACACAAGAAAAATGATATTAGAGAATTATGAGTAGAAGAGAAGAAAGAAGAGATTGTTTTAGGTAGTAATTTTTTATTTCATTCAAAGATAAGATCTTATATCGTACTTATCCTATTTATAGAAAATAGGAATACATTTGACTTCACAATAAAGCAATCATAATGACTAAAATCATAAATAATTCAAATCCCATCATATTATAATCCAAATGGATAAAATAAAAATTAAAAATCATAAAAAAATTAATTAATGGAATACAAATAAGTATCATGAATTAATTTGTTTCAACATTGACTTGAAGTAGGTAAAGAGAAGCATAAAATTAAGTTAAATGTTGAAGAGATGTGGATGCTCAAGTGGATGAGTGATTCTACTCTTAGAGACAAAATGTGAAATGAGTATATTTTTGAAAAGGTTGGAGTAGCTCCACTGGTAGATAAGATTACAGAGAGTTAGATAGTTTGGTCACATAAAACGTCGGCTTTTTGATGATCTGGTTAGAAGAGTAGATGTATTAGATCTAACCTATGTTTATAAAGGTAAATATAGACCTAAAAAAACTTGGTTAAAAAGCATTAGAATTTTTTTTTAATTAGATTTAAATGAGAATTTAACTCTTAATAGGATAGAATGGAGAAAAATGATTCATGTAGCTGACTCCACATAGTGGGATAAAAGCTTGATGTTGTTGTTTTTGACTTGAAATGGGTCATAATCCTTTATTTGTGCTCTTGTGCTGCTATCTTTTTATTTCATAGGGATGAAGATATTATATTAACCTAAATTTTTGTCTCAACTCTAGCCTGTTAACTTAGGTCATCCAAACTTGAACTTTCTAAAAAATTTATCCTCTCAACACCCCTATGTTTTTGCAAGGTTGTTGTATGCTTCCCTAGTGTGTATTATATAATAAGGTGTACAAATTCACAACTTTTAAAAGCTCATGGCTTGCAACATTGTTTCACATTTTCACTCGCAATGGAAGCACCAAACTCACATGTCTTGAAATTGTCCACTTATATAGACATTACTAATTTATGTTAATACTTGAAGTATGTTGTAAGTCATGGTCTTAGATGTTTGGTGTTTGTTCAGGGTATGTTTGGAATCACCATTGTTTTTATTTTTATTTAAAAAAAAACATGTTTGTTTAGTATATATTTTCATCATTTTTAATTTTTTTGGTTTTTAAAAATAAATCATTTTATTTTTTATTTACTCAAAATAACTGATGAGGACATCCGACCTTGGAAAGTTTATCAGAGAAGGAGCCGAATATCTACAGCCATGATTGGACCATTTTATTTTTTAGTTATTATTTGTATTTGATTTATTTAGACATCTTTTATGTGACCCCAAGGAGCACTTTTTTCATTTGATTTGTTATTGTATTTTAACTATTTATAGCCCCCTCATCTTCTTTTTGAGGGATGATGAGTATTATGAAAAGCTATGATGCACCGACACGGACACGGCGACACGGACACGACACGACACGGACACGGCAATTTTTAAAAATATAGGACACGGGTGCGGCGTGGACACGGCATAATAATTTTTTAATATAATATATAAAAATTAAGGTGACATTATAGTAAAAATGTCAAGCAATAATAAATCGAATTTCTCATGATAAGTGAATAACCTGTTAGCTTATACTGAAAGATGTTAGTAACAAAATGTCGTTAGTACAACACTAAATCTAAGCAAACTATTTATTACAACCATGAAGTGTCTCCTAACTACTCAGATAGAGGAAGATAAATCTTAAGATTTTCAGGATCGTTTGGTCTTCGGCACTTCAATATCATCATGCATTGAAGCATATCATTGCTTCCCAACTCTGCGGTTCTCTAGAGAAAGATTGCAACCTTCCAATATCCCATATATCAAGGACAACTCTGAAGACCCCCATCCAGCAACATCCCACTCTCTGTCTATCACCTGTCTATTATAAGTAGTGGGGTTTTCCTGTGATAGACGAGAACGAAGATTATGTCATGTCACAATAACTAAATTCTTCGAGCACATTGTGACCGTTATTTTTAATTCACTTCTTCTGATTTGATTGAATAAATGAGTATGTGCTCCAATTTTTCTCACAACAGGAAGGATTGAATACCTTTGACCAAAAGTTTTATTGCTATGTGTTGAAAGAGGTGCTGAGAGCTCGATGAATCAAACCATCATCATTTTGATCAATCCTGCCAACTACTCACCAAACATTCCTTGATCACTCAATTGGCTTAATATCCAAAGAACTTTGCAAGGTTCTATATTAATTTCTCTCTCTCCTGCATTTGAAAATATCTTTTTTAAGTGCATTATCTTTCTCCTATTTAAAACTTCTAAAATCTTTTTGTGGGTGAGACCGTTGATGTTCTTCTTGAAGCCACTTCTTTAACTTGAATACCTTCAAATAATAAAGCATAGTAAACAATTAAATATTCATTTACCAACAATTTAAATTAAATTATAAAATTAATATAATATACCTTGGATTTATGAATGAGCTAAACATGCAACGGTCGTTTGCTTTTGCTCACCTTCTTCAATGAATATATAGATCAATGCTCCAGAAATGAGTCTTCATCATGTGACTGTTCTTTCAATGCTGTATATAATTTCTTCACTTTGCTAAAATAGAGTCTCACATTCCATAAATCAAATGATAGACAATATTTATCTGGTGTCAGGCCTCTTCTAACATCATCATAAATTAGATCATCGGTGAAAGCCAATGTAGTCTATCATTATCCCCCCAAAAATCATCTAAGACCTTTTCTTAAGCATACCTTGCCTTCCCACACCTCTGCGATAGCAAGACCATTAGCTCACATTAATCACACATAGATTGAAGAGGCATATTGTATCATTTGGTTTGAATCTTCAATGCTGATATTCCGAGGCACAAACGAAGTTTCAGCACAACAGCGAGCATTTTCAATGGAGAAAATTCATTAACATTGAAAGTCTCAATAGAAATGATTCATAAATAAATTTTTTGATCAGAACAGCTATCATCGTGCAACCTACTGTTATCGCAATCGCATTCAGCATAGGATTCATAGCCTCTGTAATCTTGTTTTGTAATCAAATATTTTTATAGAGCAAGATTTATAAGGTGCACAACACAGGGGTTCCAAAATATATTGGGGATGAGAGTTTGCTTCCAATAATCCTCCAGCTCTAACACACGGTGCATTATCTGTAATACCTGCACAACATTTTGAAGGCCTCAATCATGGACTTCACGTCTTTAATCAATTTGGCACTAAAGTTTATCTGTATTCTCCTTCCAAATTCACTGCTTTAATGAACATTGGGTAATCCTCTGTAATGGCCATGAATTAATAGAGGGGGTCTTCTTTGAGGAACTGTCCAAACATCACACACCAAACTAATACCTTTTCTTTCCACCTCCTTTTGTTGGTTCAACGCAATGTCTCAATATGTGCTCTTTTCTCTTTCCAATATTTTGATTAATAAGTGCATTGTACGCCCGGTGACATATCCTGCGAGGTTGTTGTTACATGCAAAAATGAATGCATTTTTATAATGAGGATTTCTTGCAAGGTTGGAAAGAAGTCCCGCTGAAAAAAACATCCTTGCTATTTCACCATCCAATTCCTCTCGCTGCTACAAATTAAAAGACTTCTCTTGAGGACTACTGGCTACTCCTTTTCTTTTCTTTGTTTCATATCCTTCACTTCTAAATGATAAAACTTGATCAACTCTCACAGATGAGGAAGAAGTGTGAGATGAGCCATGAGTAGATGGCAAAGGTACCTTTTTAGGGAGTGTCCTTTGGATCCTAGATTCAGCTTCATCAACTTGTTTGTTCAATTCAATCAACTGCGACGTAGTAATCTTATGACACATTTTTATTCCATGGCCAGAAATTTTAAATAGATATGCCTTCACCCTAGAATAAGATCCTTTACTGGTGTTCAAATGTATTATATTTTTAAATCTTTAGAAGATCTCATCATTCTTCTAAGAAGATCTCATCATTGTGGTGCAAGCAATTTGTGATTATCTTTATCTGAAATCAGGCGGCTTGTTTTCATTCTATCAATAAGATTTTATACTAAACCCTGTTTGAGTTAATAGCCTTAAATTCTGAAGTAAATAACCAAATAGTTTGATTTAATTATTTTAACTCTCTGTCATTCCAAACAGCTTTCAGGACTTAGTAAATTTGGATTTAGAGGATTTAAAATACACTACTTGAGTTATATCCTACTTGCAGTCCAACAACCTATTAATAAAGACTATGAATATGATAACGATTTGTGAGTTGCC